GAGGCTCGGGGGAGACATCATCGCTCCCTGCAATCCCTGAAAGGAGTTGTGGTGAGGTGGGTCGGCCTCTGCTCCTGGGGAACAGCGATAGGATGAGATTGATGGCCCCATGTAATGCTGGGGAGTTCGGGTTGGGTACTGGGGAACGTTTCTTCTCACAAGGAGCAGTGCTGCACTGTCACAGCTGCCCAGGGAGCGCTGGGAGATGTTCCAGACCCGTGGAGATGTGGCACTGAGGGACGGGTCGGTGGGCATGGGGTGGGCTGGGGTTGGACTTGAGAGGGCTTTTCCAACTTGAATGGTTCTGTGAGCCACTGCCAAGCAGATCTCTGCCTGCCTGCAGCACTCGGTGCCCCCTTTCCTCCCCTGTCAACCAAATGTGTCCGGGTGGTGCAAATGCAAAACGTGTGCAGGGGTTGTGCTGTTGGTTTGTCACTGTGCGGTCTCTCTTTCAGACATGGTGGCAGTCCTCGGTGAGACCACGGGCTGCCTTGCCCTGCCCACGCTGCGAGACAGGATGAGGAATGACCCTGAAGGTTACCGCATCTTCCAGTGCGTTCCCCACACCCGGCCCTGGCCCTCCACCTCTGTCAGACCCCATCCTCTGCCCCATGGGTCTGAGCACGTTCCTTAGGCCCTGTAAAGGAGCGCCCCACACTGCTGTCATTTGAGGAGCTCAGGCATCTGTCAGCTCTGAGCCTCCCGGCTGTGGATTTTGCTCTGTACTTAGTGCTCAGCAGAGCCCTGCAGCAGATCTAGGAGCAGCAGCACGGAGCCCCTGGGCCCTGTTTCAACATCGCTGCCTGTTCTGCTCTGCTGCCACTGGCAGGTGCTGTCTCTCTTTGTGTGGATGCAGTGTGTTTTTTCTTTTCCGTCCTCTGCAGCATTTCCTCCACTGGGGACTCCACCCCCACTGCTTTGTCTTCTCCATAGGCACCTCCACGCTTTCATTCCACCACCCAGGGCATCTCCCTAAGCTGTGAGATAAGACTTGATGGCTTTTGCTTCTGTGTCTGCAGGGACTCATTGGGCACAAGTCTGAGGCCCAGGAGAGACTCAATAAGGCTCTGATTAAACACAATCTCACTGTCCTTCCTCTGTTCTTTCCAGTCCCTCCAGCTGATGAGGGATACAAGGAAGCATTTGCTGCAGCCAGAGTAGAGCTGGTGCTCATCCCGCTTATCTCCCTGGCATCTGGGCAGCTCCTGGATCCACTGCAGGCTTTTATCAGGGGGAGAATTTGTCCTATGCAGAAATGAAAGGGCTTTTGTTCCATCCCAGTGCTGCATGGTGCCTGTTTGCCACCAGCCTGGGCAGGAGACCTTTCTGTGCTCGGCTGCCACACGGCTGCCAATGAAAGCCTGAGCAGGAAAGAAGCGAAACCTACATTTAAAACAAACACCTTCCCCTCTCTCAGGCTGTTGCTTTGAAGTCTGTCTGTTTCACAGGGGCACTGAGATCCACTCCCTGGGCCTGACTGCTGGCCAGGCTCAGTGCAGGCACTGCACTTCTCCTCCCAGAGCTGCTGGAGTGGGGAGAGGTGGCAATTCTCATTGCCAGGGCTTCAGGTGGACTCCTTAAAGAACGCATCCTGGCGGGAGCACTTGTGGGCTGTGCTGGGAAGAGCAGGGAGGGATTTCCAAGTGCTCATCTGCCCAGGGCCCCCAGTGTGTGGGTCCCACACGATGCTCAGTGCTTTCTGTTTCAGGGAGCGGCCTCGCATCCGCCTCTCCACGCTGGACATGGCCTGGCTGCGGGGGCTGCCGGACGGCGCGCTGGGCCGTGAATACATCCGCTTCTTAGAGGACAACGTGAGTGTGGGATGTCATTGTGGTTGTCTCTGTGCCGGGAGCACAGATGAGATTTAGAGGGAGCTTGTGGCTGTGGAGAAGCACATAGGGCACCTGGAAGAGATGAAGGGAATTGGTGGGAGTCAGGAGGTTGGGATGTGATGCTGGGTGTGGGTGATGCATGCTCGGTGCTGTGCAGCCCGTGTGTTTTATCTGTGTAAATGATTCATTAGGTACTGAGAGAGACACTGATGGGGAGCTCTGCATTGCTGTGCGTTAAAGATTGAAATCAGAGGCTTTGAGTTCTGGCTGACCTGCACCTCTTTGCCCTTGCAGAAGGTTTCTCCAGACACCCGCATGCCAGCCAAGTTCGTGGATGATGAAGAGCTGGCATATGTGATCCAGCGGTACCGGGAAGTGCATGACCTGATGCACACCCTGCTGGGCATGCCCACCAACATGCTGGGTGAGCTGCCACATTCCATGCTGCCCAGTGATGGTTTTTGACCCATTGGAATCCCTAATCCCCAGCCCACAGAGGTGCACAGGGAGGTTGGCCGCATCCCCATCCTGCACTGCTGTTGTCCGACATTTGTGGGTGTCCAGTGCCTGCTGGGTTAACCACGATGTGGTGTTTTGCAAGCTCTGAGTGCAGGCTTAGGGGTTTCCTGCTTCCTTATCCATGCATCCCCGTGCCCTTTCCCCTCATTTTGTGTCTGACTCAAAGTCACAAGCTGAGCCTTGCTGGTGAGCCAGCAGGAACCAGCATTTCTGGTCCCTTGGAAGGTTCTGGCTGAGATGTGACAGTGGATGAAAATGGGCTTTCCCATGCTGGGAGATAGGGAAAGATACACAGGCAATCCTCATTTAGCAGTTGCATCACTGAAGATCTCCAGGAGCCCAGCCTTTCTCAGCCATGCCCAAGCTTGTGGGGCAGTGACAAGAGGTGCTGCTCCTGGGGGTGGCTGCCAGGCTGTCCCTGGGAGGCAGTGCAGGGCTTCTGTCGCGGTGTGGGACGGTGCCCTGTGCCTGCTCACTGTGCTCTGCTTCCTCCCAGGTGAGGTCGTGGTGAAATGGTTTGAAGCCATCCAGACGGGGCTGCCCATGTGTGTGCTGGGAGCAGCGTTTGGCCCCGTTCGTCTCAACGCACGGTAGGCAGTGATGCTGTCTGATGAGGGTCCATGTTAATCTGAGTTCTGATCCTGGGTTTGCTGCTGGCTGTAACCTTCCCACACAGAGTCCCGTCCCATGCCTCAGTTTCCCTTGTGAGATAAGCAGGAGTGCTGAAGGGTGCAGAGGCATAGGGTTTGCATCTGCCCGGAACAGGGACTTGGAGGAGGAAATAGAAAACCAAACGTGGAAATGAAAACCATTGTCTTCTGTGCCCTTTGCTGCAGAAAGCTGCAGGTCCTGGCCACCGAGCTGCTTCCATGGGCGGTCCGGAGCGGGCGCAACGCCAGCTGTGTCCTCAATGTCTATTATGAGCAGCGCTGGGAGCAGAGCGTGGAGTCCTTGCGGGAGGAAATTGGCATCTTCCCCCCTCCAGCTGTCCGTGTGTGAGAGCTCATGCTGGGGGGGTGGAATGGGGGATCCCCCCGTTGGCAGCTGTTCCCCGCACTGCTCCGCCGCCTCCTGCCGCACGGGCGCAGTGCGACTCTGCTGGTGCCGACCTGGTGCTGCTCTCTCCTGTCAAGAACTGGCAGCCCCCTGTTGGAAGAGACCTCCCCGTGCCCTGATGAAATGTGACCTCTTCTGCAGTTTGTCAGCAGGTGGAGAGGTGGCCAAGTCCTGCCGTGCTTTTGCAGCTGGGTTTTGCTGGGTTGGGAGCGAGTGCAGACACAGCACGTTCGTGGCATGCAGGGGTCGGAGCGCCCAGCAGGGCCGACTGCTCAGCCTGGCTCTGCTGTCTGGATGTTAACCGTGCTGGAGCTGCTGTCAGAAGATCCCAGGCTGCCCTGAGGCCCTCCTCGTCAAAAATGTCACCGCGAGAGGTTTTTGATAGGGATCGTCTTCCTCTGACAGTGAGGTGGTGATGGGGAGTAGGGCAGAGTCCTAGGAGAGCAGGACTGGAGGCTGCCCTGCATCTGGGCGCTGCTCGCAGTGCGGGTTGAGGGTTCAGCGTGCCGGCGGCTGTTTGCAGAGCGGAGGCAGAGCCACGAGGCGGGCGGGGCTGCGGGCGGGGAGGTTTGCTGTTGAAATTCCTTCTTGCTCAATAAAACCTGTGGTGGAGCTGTAGTTCGTTCTCCCTCCTCCCACCCGCCTTTTCTCCCCGTCTGGTGGGGAGACGTGACGTGAGACCTCGGCACTTTTCGGGTCCGGGATTCCACGGGACGTCACCGTGGGCCGCCCCAGCGCCGGGCTGTGCCACCGCGCTCTGGGATGGTTCCGGCCCACGGGAGGTGACGTGTCCGTGTCCGGGAGGTCGGGCAGCTTCGCCTCCCGGTTTTGCCACATCACTGCGGATTTCTTTTTTTTTTTTTTTTTTTTTTTGAGTTGGTGACGACGGGTGCTGCGCTATGCCAGAAATGCCGTGCGTGCGGCTGGCTGCCGCCCTGCTGCTCGCTGCGGTGCGTATGGGGACGAGGTGATTATTTCATTCCAAAACAGAGGAACCCATCGGGCAGGTGCTGCGATCCTCCCTACCCCCGCCCCCCGGCGCAGCACCTCCCTGCGCGCACAGCTGGCCACGCCGTCAGCACGGCAGGCGCACAGCAGCCTCCCACCCGCGGCTCCGGGATCGGGCGGCTCTGCCCCGCGCCGCTCTCCCCGCCTTCAAAACGCCGATCACAGGGCGCTTGAAGGCGCGCCCACCCGCCGCGTGGTGCCGGCGGGGCTCCGCGCAGCCTGCGGCCGCTCCGCGCCCTCGGGCAAAATGCGACTCTGGTGGGACTCGAACCCACAACCTTTGAATGACTCCCGTCACCGCCGCGCTAGAAGTCCAATGCGCTATCCATTGCGCCACAGAGCCGTCGGACAGCCCCGCCGCCTTCGCCGCCTCTTCCCGCCGCGCAGCGCCCCGCCCCGCCCCGCCCCGTTCTGCTCCGCGTTCGGGGCCGCCGCCGCCACCGGGAGCGGAGCTGGGAGCGGACAAGCGGCCGAGGCAACGCCCGCCCCGCAGCGCCGCCGGAGCCTTGGAGCGTAGAGGCGGCGCCGGGTTGGGACTACAGCTCCCGGCGGGCCGCACGGAGCGCTCCGCTCCGCCCCGCCCCGCCCCGTGCCGCAGCGGCGGGCGGGCCCTGCTCCCCGCTCCTCGCTCCCGGCCCCGCTCCCGGCGGCGGTGCAGGTGGCCGGGCCGCACTGGAACGCGCTGGAGCCCGGTAAGAGCGCGGCCCGCCCCCTTCTCCCTTCTCGCGGCCTGCCCCGCTGGCTCGGAGGGGCTCCCGGTGCGGGCGCGGGGATCGGCGGGGGTTTGGCCGCTGCCCGAGGCGCCCCGTGGAGGCGGTGCGGCTCCGACGGGAGGTTCGGGGCCGGTTTCGGGCAGGGCGAGGCGCGGCGGGGACTGCGGCAGCGGGAGGCGGGAGCGGGCGGGAGGGACCCGGCGCCGCCCCGGGCCGGGGAGAGCCGCGGAGGCTCCGCTGGAATGGAAGCGCTGCGCCGGGGGCTGCGGCGCCGGCCTGGAGCTCCGGACTCTGCGGCGGATGCGCGGTGCCCCCCCGCCCTCCGCAGCCCCGTGCCGCCGTGCGGCCTCCCCGCCGCTGTCCGTCCCGTCCGCCCCCCCCCGCGCGGAGCCGCCCGGCCGGGCGCCTCGGAGCCGCGCGCGGTGGGTGTGGAGGTGGGCGCGGGGCAGCGCTCGGTTGGGCGGCGGCCGTCCGCGCTGCTGACAGCCCGCTGTGTGCGGCGGCGACGGGAGCGGATGGCGGGCGCCTGCCCGGGCCTGCCTGCCTCGCTGTGGGCGGCGGAACGCCTCGCTGCCCACGCGACGCGCCCCCCCGGCCGCATCACCGCTTCTGTCCGATGCTGGAGCTGTAAGGAGGGCCCGGCGCTTGGCTGGAGCGCGGAGGTTTGATGGTTGCCCCGTTAAGGTGCACAGAGAGGTTCTGGGGGGGGGGGAATACGGAGGGTCCTGCCCTGCTGGTAAGCGCTGGGGCTGTGCTGGGGGACGCTGAGCTGCTCGGGAGGAGGCTTGGAGCCAGGGGCAGGAGTGAGATGTGTGGGTCAGGGCTGTGGGACTGCCCGTGTTGTGGGCTTGGGGCCATCCCTGCCTGCTCTGAGGTCGCAGCTCAGGTGCGAGGTGGCTGCATGACATGCTTGGATGCCATCTCACGTGGGGCAGCCCTGGGGCTGTGGCTGCCAGTCTCAGAGCAGGGAATCATCCTCAAAAGGGGAAGGGGAACTGTGCCAGAATTTCATTCCTCTGAGGCCATGCCGGGAAGGACTGGTGTTATCTAGGAGCCGTCACTGTGCTGAGGTCATGTCACTGCCTCTATCCTCTGCCTGCTGCTGCCTGAGAATAGCCTTTGCTAAATCATGGTCACCTGTGAGTCCTGGAGCTGTGGCTGGGAGCGTTCAAGACAGAAATATCGCAGTCTATCCACAAGGCTTGGGGATGGAGCCTGGGTGCACCCAGCAGCTGGGACACCCTTGCTGTGCCTCGTGGCCATCACCCGCCCGGCCGTGCCTCCAGGCCAGGAAGCTGCCCTCTGACACGGGGTTACAAACACAAGCAGAGATCAGAAGATGGAGTGTCCTCATCCCATTGGAGCAGTGTCAGACTGAGCTCCGCAGCCCAGCAGCTGTCCTGGGCACACTTTGGTGCTGTGGGCGTGGAAGAGCTGGGCTCTAGGGATCCTCCGGGCAGGGAGGAGTTTGGATCTGGACTGTCCTGGGTTGGGTGTGAGAGCTAGCTCACCCTGCCTGGCATTGCTCTGGTGCCTCCTAACATCTGTACAGGGTCTCCTGCACAGCTGCACTGTCACACCTGTGAGGTGACCTCATCCTACATCTGACGCTACTGGGATGTGTCCATGTCCCTGGCTGGTGTGCAGGCCAGGGGTCTGCAGAGAAGAACAGCCAGGCTTTTGGTGGGCTCTAAGCAGTGCCGTGCTGTGCCAATGCTTAACTGGAGCCCATGGGCAGGGTCTGCTAAAATCAGCCTGCTGGGTTACATCCTCACTGCCAGGAGGAGTGGTGACTCTGGGCCTCATCCAGGGAACTGGGAGCTGCTAATGCATCCCCTGCGCGTGGGTCTTTTATTGTTCAGTGTGCGTAGGTCAATGTTTGTGCTTTCTCTCTCTCCACAGGCCAAGATGCTGCGTCTGGCTGCCTTTGCAGCACTGCTGCTGTTCTTCAGGGTCAGCCTGGAGCTGTCCTGGGCCCAAGCCATCCCTGCTCTCTTCATCTTCTACCTGGGATCAGGGGGATGGGACTTCTTCCTCATATTCATCAAGACAATACGAAGGGATGTCACGTAGGTGTCCTGTTTGGAGTGGCCCAACTTTGTGCTGGAGTGTGTAAGCATAACCCCAGCTCTGTGCTGGCACCTGGCCCGGCTTGAAGGAGATCATCTTCTGCTGTGCCCTGAAGGCTCCAAACTCTGGGGCAAAGTTTTCCCAGGAAATATAGATTTCAGCTGAGCTCTGAAGTCTACTGATTGTCCTTGTACTTTATCCTGTCCCTAAAACTGCTGGCGTTGCACTGGCTGCCTAGGCTGGGGTGGCTCTGAGCTGGTACCAGGCTGTGCCAGCTTCTGGCAGAGATCTGTGTGTGGGACAATAGTGGCACCTTTTGGAGAGCACCTGAGGCTCCAGGGTGCTCCTTTAAAGTGAACTTCCCAGTCTGCAGCCTTCCAAAACATCTCTCCCTGCCCTCATTCCCATAAGTGCCTTTGCAGAGGGCCTCTGCCTATATCCATGCTTTTCAGGGAAGCAGCCAGAGCTGCTGCTCATCGAGAGTAACACCTGGAGCAGTGCTGGACTATTGCAGCTCCTGGCAAGGTCTCTGTGCTGTGCTGTCTTTGCTGGAGGAAGTGGTTTTGCAGGGCTCACTGAGCAGCTTCCCTCTTGTTCCCTTTATTTTGGCAGCACGGGGCTGGTTCTGCTGCGGGTGAAGTGGCAGGTGTGGAGGCACGTGAAGGAGAAGAATACAATCGCCAAGATCTTCCAGAGAACTGCAAGCAAGTATCCAGAGAAAACAGCGCTGATCTTCCAAGGCACGGACGAGAGCTGGACCTTCCAGCAGCTGGATGAGTACTCCAACCAAGTGGCCAATTTCTTCCATGGCCAAGGCTTCCGCTCTGGTGACGTGGTGGCTCTGTTCATGGAGTCCCGCAATCAGTACGTGGGGCTGTGGCTCGGCCTGGCCAAGATCGGGGTGGAGACGGCCCTGGTGAATTCCAACCTACGCATGGAGGCCTTGCTGCACTGCATCACCATCTCCAACTCCAAGGCTGTGGTTTTTGGAGTGGAAATGATGGAAGGTGAGACGCAGGCAGATGCTTCAGGAGGTTTTCAGGCTCTGTGGATTCAGTGCTCCTGTCCTGCAGGGAATAGAGCAGGGTCTCAAAAAGTGTGCACAGCTGAATTATTCAAAAATTGGATCTGATTTTCTTTCTGTTAGTAGGCAGCAGAGGTGGGTGGGTTCAGTGTTCTCTGTGAAGCCCATATGGATGCAAGGATTCTTCCTTGTGCTAGAGGTTCCCATCATGTCCACGCACTACATGGAGCCCTGTGCATTGTCAGGCCTGCCCTGATGGAAGGGATGAGCCTCCCTTGCTCTCCACACTGTTTGCCACAATCTTGCAGCACCTGACTTCATGTTTCAGCCTACACCCCTGCGGCTGATGGTGTTGAAAGACCTCTCAGCACCACAATGTTTTGGCTGAGAAGAAGTGGAGAACAGGATCTTCAAGTCTCTGAAGAGGCCTGGGCTGTGGTCCCAGCTGTTTGACATAGGAGCAACATTGCCTGGGAGTGTTGTCAGGCCTTTTGGGGTTCTGCTGAGCATAGTGAGAGTACAGCTACCTGGGGCATTATCTTCCCAAGGCTGCCTGCAAGGACAGGGAATTGTGCTGTACTCACCTGGTGCTCTTTCTCTACCTCTCCTCTTTACTTTCTCAGCTATGAAGGAGGTGCAGTCCTCCATGGAGAAGTCTGTCCATCTCTTCTGGTCAGGAGAAGGAAGCCTTGAGTCCGCACTTCCTGGTGCAAAGCACCTGGATCCCCTCCTGCAGACAGCTCTTCGACACCAGCCAGATCCCCCTGAGAAGGGCTTTCTCGGTATGTGGTCAGCTTTTGGGAGCCCAACTCGTGGTGTTTCTGTGGATCATCTGATCGCAGCACTGGCAAGAATGTTCTGCTCAGGATGCTGAGGGCAGACTTCAGCAGCAGAGCTTGGAATGCTTGAAGGGGGGCTGAAGCCTGGCTGTATGTGTGCAGTGTCATGTGCCCTCCATGTGTTCAAACAGGCCTGGAGTGAACCCAGCATGTTCTTGATTACATAACAAAATTTATATGTTATTTTGTTTGACATGAGCAGAGTACTCTTTGACTTATGCTTCAGCCAGCTCCTCCTAGATCAGGTGCAGTGATCTAGGTCACACTGCATGTGTGACCTTGTCTCCTCATTCCTCCCCAGATAAACTCTTCTATATCTACACCTCTGGTACTACGGGAATGCCCAAGGCTGCTATTGTGGTGAACTGCAGGTAAGGCAGTGGGCAGGAGCTCTGAGGAGGAAGGGGGCAGAGCTCTGGCACGAAGCCTCTGGCCTTGCTTCTGATTTGCCCCTTGGTTCCCCCACCCCAGGTATTTCCGCATGGCCAGCTTGGTTTTTTACGGTTTTCGCATGAGACCCGATGATGTGATGTATGACTGCCTTCCACTTTACCACGCCGCAGGTAATATGTGCCTTCAGGACCTTGCTTGCCTGGACTTTGCTTCCCCTCTGCCAAGCCCAGAGCTCAGGCTGGGGGTTGGTGCAGCAGTGATCTTTGTGTCAAAGAGGAGCTGGCTGCTGCTGGCAGCGTATGACCTCTTTATCTGGGAGCCAGGAATTGATCTAGCTGACTTCTGGAGTGGGGACTGTGTGTGGGGAGGACTATCCCAGCCCTTGGCCTGGCTTTGGAATAGCTGCATTGTATTGCTGCCTCATGAGAAAAGGAGTGAGGAAGGGGAAGCAGTGCCCACCTTGCTGACTGAGGTGTGGTGGGATGTCTAGGTGTAACGTGCTGCCTCACATGCCACTGTCACATTGCCCTGGGGTCCTGGGGGCTTTGGCCAGATGAACACACACCTGCTGAGAGCCAGCGTGTGGCCCCCACCTCGCTCTGGCCGGGTGGGATCTCTGAGTACTGAGGGCTTTCCTGGCTGCCTCTCTGCAGGGAACATCGTGGGGATCGGGCAGTGCTTGCTGCAGGGCATGACAGTCGTCATCCGCAAGAAGTTCTCAGCCTCGCACTTTTGGGAGGACTGCGTGAAGTACAACTGTACGGTGAGGCCACATGCCTGGGGATCTGTGTTGAGTTAGGGTGAGCCCAGCTGCTGCGAGAAGGAAAGGCATGGACTCGTTCTGCCTGTCTGTCCTGAAATACCTTCCAAAAGTGGTGGAGCTGTATCCTTCCCACCTCCAGCTGTCATTCCACGTTTCCCATGCTCCAGCATTAGCCAGGTCTTGGATAGGTTTTATAAATTGGAGGAGTGAGTTTGCCAGAGATGGGTGGGCAAGGGACAAGCTGGCAGGACCCCTGAATAATACCACATCCTCTTTAGGGGACTCTGTATGTGTTGTTCCATTCCTGCCTGCCCCAAAGAACACCTTAAATATCCAGGCTGTGGTGGAGGGTCCTAACGTGTCCTTTCTCTTTGCCCCTGCTAGATTGTGCAGTATATTGGAGAGATCTGCCGCTACCTGCTGAACCAGCCCTACCAGGAGGTGGAGCGGCAGCACCGGGTGCGCATGGCGCTGGGCAATGGGCTGCGAGCTTCCATCTGGAGAGAGTTCATGGCCCGCTTTGGCATCACCCAGGTGGCTGAGTTCTATGGGGCCACCGAGTGCAACTGCAGCCTGGGGAACTTCGACAATAACGTAAGGCTTTGCCACCCTCCCCATGCCCCAAGGGGTGCCTGCTGGCCTGGCAGGGGTTGAAACCCAGCAGGGCTGTTGGCTGCAGGTTCCTTGTTCCAAGAAGCTTGGCGTGTGTTAAGATCCACCTGCAGGGTTTTGACTGTGCTTTAGTGGTGCTAGCTTGGGGCAGGAGAGAGGTTCCTGCTACTCGTGGCTCTGAGTGCCTTCTATCTTAGGTCGGGTCCTGTGGCTTCAACAGCAGGATCTTGCCAGGGGTGTACCCCATTGGCTTGGTGAAAGTGGATGAAGACACCATGGAGCTGATCCGCGGGCCGGATGGTGTCTGCATCCGCTGCAAACCAGGTAAGGGCAACCACTGGGGTGCATATCCTCAGCCCTGTGTGGATCTTTTGTCACGTACTTCATGGTAACTTAGTTAGGTTTAAGTCCTTGCTTTGTTAAACCACACCAATCCTGTTAAACACCCTTTTTCCTTGGGCATGAGTGGTTGCTTCCTCTGTTCTGCTCTCCCTACAGGGGAGCCGGGGCAGCTGGTGGGCCGCATTGTCAAGAGCAACCCCCTGCAGCACTTTGATGGCTATCTGAATCAGTCAGCCACCAGCAAGAAAATTGCCAGGGATGTGTTTGCAAAAGGGGATGCTGCCTATCTCACAGGTAGGCAAGTAGTGCCCTTGTGTCTCCTGAGAGGAGAGGAGTACTTGGGTGGGCTCAGGGATGTCTCAGGCTGGTGGCACTGTCCTGAGATGCTCTGGGGAAGCACTTAGCTCCTCTCGCACCTCTTTTTTTTTTGCAAATCTGCCCTTTTCCTGCAGGGGATGTCCTGGTGATGGACAAATACGGCTACATGTACTTTCGGGACCGCACTGGAGACACATTCCGCTGGAAGGGAGAGAACGTCTCCACTACTGAGGTGGAGGGGACACTGAGCCGCATCCTCAACCTGACAGACGTGGTTGTATACGGGGTGGAGATCCCAGGTAACTGAGAGGGGAAGGGAGGACAATGGAGGCAGGCAGGCTGCAGTACTTGGGGGTGTGTCTCGCTTGTCCAGATTGTGTCCTTTCACAGGAGGCTGGACAGAGTGAGCCGGGAAGAGACTACTGGGGATGTGACTAGCAGGAGCCAAAGGGTTCTCTCCCTCAGGCAGAGGTTTGGTTCTGGCTGGTTTGGAAGGACCCTGAGTCCTTTTGGGATAGGCTGCAAGTGCCTCCTCTGGGAGGAGGTGACGGTGACCGCAGGGTGTCGCTGGTGGCTGTGGCTGCAGGCTGGTGACACAGGCAGCTGGACGTTTGGTGCTTTGTATAAAGCAGAGAATGTGCCAGAGGCCTCGGTGATGTGGGGCAAACAGAAGTGATGCTGCAAGGACAGCATGCCCAAGAATTCTCCCTTCTTTTCTGTCTCTCAGGCATTGAAGGGAAGGCAGGAATGGCAGCCATCGCTGACCCAGAGAACTCCTGTGACCTGGAGGGCTTTGCCAGCCAGCTGAAAAAGGCCCTGCCACTGTATGCACAGCCTGTCTTCCTGCGGTTCTTGCATGAGGTCTCCAAGACAAGTGAGCCACTTTCTGTGCTGTCATACAGGGCATGCAGCTGGGGGGAGCATGGGGAAAGGCACTGTGCTCCCTGGTGCACAGCAGGTGCATGGGTACAGGGGCTGATCTGCAGCGGAGTCGGTGTTGGGATGGAGCATGTCTGCCCTATGAGTCCCTGGTCCTACCAGCTCCTCTGGTGGTTTGGAGATATGGGAGTGCAAGGCTGAGGATGGCAGCTGATGCTAAGATGTCTCTAGGCACTGCACAGAGCCCCACGGTTTGGCAGCAACCACGTGGTGCAGCACAGCAGGGCAGAGATGGGAGTGCATGCAGTCAACAGCACCTTGCTCCCTTTTCTTTCCCCATGTGCCAGGCACCTACAAATTCCAGAAGATGGAGCTGCGTAAGCAGGGCTTTGACCCCACACTGGTGAAGGACAAGTTGTACTTCTTGGACTGCAGGCAAGGCCGCTACCTGCCCTTGGACCAGGAGGCATTTGACAGGATCCAGTCGGGACAGCAGAAGCTGTAACAGTGGGAATCAAGCAAGGCAGCTCCCCAAATCTTGCTGGGGGAAGAGGGGCAGGGCAGGCACTGGGGAAGGAAAGGTTCAAGGAGTGGTATAAAGGCACACTAGAGTTTTTGTTTGACAAGTTTTACAGATCACGGGTTGGGGAAATGCAGCTGGGACTCAGGGGAGGGAGATGGTTACATACCAAAGCATAAACTCATTATGGCTTTATTTTCTACTTGGTACAGTGGTGATGGTCCCATGCCACAGGAGGGGCAGGACCCTGGCCAGTTGGGGAGGGGTGGGGGTGCCCCTGCCATTCCATTTTGCTTTTCCTGTCTTTCCCTCCCTTTTCTTGCCTGCAGCAATCCTTCGTTATGAAGCCTATGAAGGGACCATTGCTGGGCTCTTTTCCCCACTCTTCCACCGTGCACCCAGCTCCTACCTGGCACCAGCAGAGGGTGCCAGGTGCAGCCCCTACCCCTGTGTGGCCCACTGGTGTCATGTTCGTGCTGTGAATCAGGGAAGCAGGGTAGAGCTGGGCTCAGGAGAGGGATAGGGATGTGTTTCTACTATGCCTTGCTCTCTCCCGAGGTTGACATTTCTGCTTTTCACAATCACATCACGCACATTATACACGTATATATACATATATTATACACGCTGACTTTTTTTTTTCAATCTTAATTTATTGTCTGTACTTTTGAATGTGTCCCGGGTTTGTGCAGTAGGTGGAGGGATATCCTAGACCTGTCCTCTCTTGGAGAGCCCTTTTCTCTCGCAGGGAGATAGGATGATCATCTGGGACTGATTCTCCTCTTCCAGCATGGGTGCAGCCATGTATGTCCTTGTGGCCTTGCTCCATGGTGAAGGACATGAGTAAACCCTGCTATCTTGCGGGCAGTTTTCTGGGTCTCTTACTTCCACCTTTCATGGATGCAGCCTTGTTTTGTGCACCTTCTTTCCTGTATAAAATAGGTGGGAAAGTGGCAATGAAGGGTTTGGTTTGCCTTTGCTTAAACGTACTCAGCACCTTGGGATCACAGAGCAACTCTAGGAACTTTCCTGCTATGATATCTGTGTCCTGAATATGGGAGGCAACTTGCCTGGAAGGGAGAAAATCCTCCAGAGAGTTGTCTCTGTGACAGCCTGATTTCATGTGCTCTGTGCCCCTTCCTAGAAGAGCCTAACCCAACTCTGCTGCAGGAGCTGGGCCTCTGAACTGAAATGTCCATGTTAAACACTCGACTTGCGCTATGTGAATTCTCTGCATTGTGTCTGATGTGAAGCAGCCTTAGCAGCAATGTCTGATTCCAGTCTTTGGAGACCAAGCAGAAACATCTGTTCCAGAGAAACTCTGGTTTGGAATTATTATTATTATTTTTTAATGGTTTGTTTTTATGCTTTCAGCAGGGTTAATCCTTAAAATGACTTCTGTCTTTTGTGAGGGCAGGGTGTGTTTGCTCTTCTAGCTGTGCTTCCACACCACCATACCTGCCTGCCCCAGTCTGTCCTGTCCTCACAATTAAATACGAGTACGGGCTATGCTGGAGTTTCCTACTTCTTGCTTGCGTGGTCCTACTGTGTTTGGGAGGAGGGAACTGTGGTGGTTTGGGAACTGGGAGCTGCTACTCCCAGAGCATAATCTCTCTGTGTGTACTTATCTCAGGGCAGGGAGCAGTGAGCCCTTTACAGCTGTGTTGATGCCTGTATGAACACCACCTGTTGGTGAGACCCTCCCCACCCCTCTCTACCTGCTCCCCTTTTCTCCCAGCCATCTTTTCAGTATTGCCATCCCAGTTTGTCCTGGATCTGTTCTTGTTTACCCCAAAATGTCCATCCTCCTCCTCCCCTCTCCCTGCTTGCTCCTCTCCTCAACTTTTGCCATGCTTAATCTCCCACCTCATTTCTCAGCTTGCAGTTTGGGTTTTTTTTGTACTCATTTCCCTTCCCTTGCTGCCAGAACCATTCTTAAACCTTCTCCATCCTGCTCTGGGGAAGGATCATATTGAAGGGTCTGCTCGTGGCTGCTGTATGGGACAGGAGTGGCACAATGCCCATCTGCTCAGCAGGTGCTCAGGTCTCACTTCTGGACGCTGTTCCTCTCTCAGTCTGCCAGTGGAGGGCAGGCTGGGAGCAGCAAACACCTCGTTTCAGTGGGCTCCTCAGCCTAGGGCTTGCAGCCCTTGGGAGGAGGAGGGCACTGAAACTGGGGATGAGTTAACCAAAGTGGGGATGGGTCTGATCCTGCCTGGCACGGAGAGGAAGATTTGGATAGCTGTGATTGTGCTGTACGTGGATCCAGTGGGTATCCACGGTGCCCCAGGCTCTGCCTGGAGGAAACTGCAGCTGCTCCAGGGCTACCCTGAGTTTCTGGACCACTGCTGAACAGCAGCCTGATGCGATGGGTAACTCTGCTACAGAGATCAAGTGAGAGTCTAGCCTCCCTGAAGGCAGTCTTGGGGGCTGCTGTCTGGAAATAAATGGTTTGAAGTGCTATCAGAAGCACTTTTCTCCCTGGAAGAAACAGACATCCTGCTGTGCATGCCAAGCTGCTCTCAGAAGAGGCATGGGAAGGTCCTCTTTTCCTGCATTTCCCTGTCTGAGAGCAAGTTATGATTCAAACAAGCAAACTGCATTCAGAGAAACTGCATGTTCAATGCAGGTGCAAATAACATCAGCAACTTACAGAATTACGGCAGTAGTTTGTAAGTAAAAATCAGTCTGTATTGCCAGAAGGACTAGGGTCTGGCTGGAGCAGGGAGGAAAAATGAAACCTAGATGTGAGTGCCACTGAAGCTGCCACCCCACATGCTCTGCTGAGTCCTGGGTCAGTGCTGGGAGAAAATGCTTCCAGCAGAGAGGTGCTTGGAAAGGAGTAGCCAGTGCCTAATCTGAGTCTGACTGTTTGTTCTAAATTTCTTTTTGCTTTTTTTAAGGAAGAAACTAATTGAATCCTGTATGATTAGAGACAGCCTGTGAGATTTATCTCCCTCCTTTGATCAATAAGCTAAAGTTTGCCTCAACAGCTGCATATAGGTAAAAGTACTATATAGAAAGTATGAGGTTTTTGGGTTTTTTTTTAAATTAAAAAAAATTAAAAAGCTGTTTCCATGAGGTTAGGAAAGCATTAATAATACTCTCCTGGGTTATTAGCCAATTAATTTAAGCAAAGCTAAAGAGCTTTACAAACCAAATGTGCTTTTCACCATAGAGATGACCAATTTTTGCGTATCTGTCACTCTGGCCAGGGGCAATATTAAGAAAAACAAGGCTGTAACTTCCTCTCTGATCAGCATCTCTTTCCAGCTCTCAGTCCAGCTCAGGCTGTGCTTGATGAGCAAAACTGGAGGATATTTCAATCCAAATGCAGGCAGAGGCTCTGCAAGATGCTCAGGACCATTCTGCCTGAAATTATTTTCTGCTGCTGAGAATCTGTGAGCAGCTTTAAAGCTGCACGGCTCCCAGCCTCCTCCTTCACCACTCTTCATCTGCTGAAGCCCTCGCAGACAATGCCGCCTGCTCCTCCCAGCGCCGGCCCCACAGCTTTGCCTTTAAGAAACATTCTGGACCTGTCCTTTGGTACACCCTTTAGAAATGTAAATATGTGATTCCCCTGAGTAGTTCCAGTGTAAGCAGGCCTGAGGCTGGCAGTGGCTTTGCCTCCTCGGCTCCCAGTGGTGTGGTGTCATGGGCAGCCCAGGGGAACGGCGGCCTGCAGAGAGCACTGCGCTGTGTCTGAGGGCAAGGAGCAGCCATGTGTTATGCAGGAAGGCCTCACAGAGAGCCAGGTAGCCGCTCCAGAACCAACTGCCCATGGCACGTAGCAGGGTGTGAAGACTGGGGAAGGCACAGACGCTTCTCTCTTGTTGACCATCTCGTTTCATTGGGGCTTTCAAAATAACCTGGGGCTTAAGTCTCCTTTCCTCAGCCAGTGGAAAGCATCTCCCATAGGCACGACTGCTGCAAGGCCAAGCGTGGGAGAGCTCAGGGCTGTCAGCACGGTCCTGGTGGCACCGGGCACGGCAGATGAGGGGGACTGAAGACGGGGTCTTCATGCCCAGATCCCTGTCTGGTGAAGCAGGACGCGTCCCGCCCCGTCCTCGTGGCTCCGTGCGGTGCTGGGATGAGCGCCATCCCTGCCGCACCACAGAAGCCATGGTGACGTGAGCCTCCCTCCTCGCCCCCGGCCGCAGGAAGAGGCTAACGGCGGCGGGCGAGCCGTGTTCTCAGCTTGGAGTATCGCTTTCAGCTATTCTGAAGGTTAAACGCCTGTTTAGAGCTCCCTATTGAAGGTGGAGACGGGGGTGCGCCATTGTTCGGCCGCCCTCCCGCTTTGTCTGCCCGCTCTCAGGGGCGCCCTGAAAGGGAAGCGGCCCCGCGGCCCGCACCCGGCAGAAGGGCTCCTGGGGGAGCGCCGCTTCCTCCGCCCTAATGACATTCAGGCCTCCATCGGTTCAGCTCCCGCTTTCTTTCTACTGCAGTTTAACCCGGGCACAGAGGCCGGGCTCCATCTTACTGATCTCTGCTTGACACCCAATTACCACATGAATGGCAGAGAAAGGCTGCAAAAGGCTTTAACTCCCCCTGACCCTCCTTCCCCTCTGCCTGCTTCCCCCTCGCCCCGTCCTACCCCCGCACGGAGGGAGTTCAAAACTGAGACTGGAAATCAAACAAAGCCCCGAGCGGGGAAACCCATTGTTACCGCCTCGGAGATGGCTCCCGTTTCGCCATCCATTGTTCCCCTTGAAGTTTGACTTGCTGTGTGGAAGGATGCGAGCAGCTGTTGGTGCATTCCCCTGATGTTTTATTGAAAAATAATTGAATCGTCACTTTGGGGCTCGCTGATAAAATGTTTCCTCGTAGCACTGGGCCCTGTTGTATTCATAAAGTATGTTTCCCCGTAAAATGTGTTGGCAACCCAAACCGTTTCCTGCTTCGATGGAGGGATGGATGCTCCTTCTGCACTCGAGGGACGAAACAAGCAAGCAAACTGAAAACCAAAAACCAAGGGCTGAGACAAAAGAAATTAAACCATCTTTACTGTGAGGCTGAATTTCCAACCTGTTCTTTTGTTCGGTGTAGTTAAATTTGTGGGAGGGCCAGGCCTCTCAGCCCCGCTCCGCTGGGGAAGCGTGGCAGTGACCAGGGAACATCGGAGCCTGGCACTGCGCTGTGCCTGAATGCAAGGACAGGATGTGAAATACTGAGTAGAAAACAGAGGTTTCACTTAAGTTAGCACAGTGACACATCCACGGGCTCGAACAAGAGGACGGTGTGTTACAGTAAACCGAACACAAGGCAGGGACCTTGACTTTATCTGTTCCTTCTTTATGTACTTGATTATCAAATGCCATCAATGCTTACAGCACTTCAGAAATAACAACATCAGCACTACACTTTCTCAAGGAGATTACATGCTTTCTTCTCACCTCCCCAAGCATATGCTGGTAAATTTGTGATGCTCTGATTTCAGCACTGGCACAGAGATGGGAATTGCTCCTCTTCGCAAGCACACATCGTCCATAAAAATGTCCCCCATAGCTCATGTGCTCGCTGACTGTATTTCTAGGGTAACTGTTAACAGTAACCAGCTTTGAATGCTTCAATGAGCCAAATTGGTATTTATGATTACTGTTCACTCTCTCCCCTCTCTTTCTCTCTCTCTCTCTCTTTTTTTTTTTTTTTTAATTTCTTTTGCCTTTATGAGGAAGCACTAGCACTAAATCTGTAATATTTTGTTGCATTTCTATAGCTCAGGAATCGAGGTTTTTTAGCAGCCAGTTCTGCTGTTATTTGGCCTCACAAATTATTCCTGGAAGCAGGAAGAATAGCTCATAGAAAATCATAACTACAAACACTGATCTGGAGCTCAGATTACCAGATCTTTTGTAAACAGAGTGCTTCGGTCACTACTGAAGGGTATACAAATAAGATTTCTGTCTAAGCTGTCTCTTTCCTCTGCCTGTTTCCCATACAATTGGTTCAACATCCTGAGCTATCTCTCTGAGGTACTCAGAGGCCTTGGGATTTACTTTAGAAATATCTAAAATCCAACTGGAATTTCTGGAGGAAGACCACAGGCAGTAGCTTCATGCTTCTGCCATAGCATAACCCCCAGCAATGGCAGCAGCACCCGTTGTGCTGGGAATTGCAGAATCTTTCCTGGGGTCCAGCCGGCAGAGTGCTCATCTCCCAGAACAAAAGGCCGCTACAAACACCACCACCTTCTGCTCTCAGGGTTAGGCGTGCCCTGACCCCTGTTAGCATAAACGTAGAGCAATCTGTCTGCGGAAATTTATGCCCGTTACATATAATGCATAATGTATATGCATCTATATGACATTTCTTTCTGAATGCGTGCGCGTGCACATGTATATTTTAAAGCCGAACCCTCCACTAAGAGGAGGCTTGGAGGAGGGAGGGTGAAGGGGCTGCAGTTTTCCTCCAGTTCCGCCCAGTGCTTCGTGTGCTCCACACTGCAGAGGAAGGAACCTGTGCCGCAGCACAGCCCAGCTGTCACCACCATGGCTGTGTCTGCCTGTGCACGTGCTTCTTTCTCCCTCTGGGGATGGGAGGAAGAAACAAACGGGTGACAGATGTGCACCGTGCTGTTAATGCGGTGCGGACAGTGACCGATGCTGCGGCGATCCGAGAGGCTGAGGGGACGCCGAGCAGCCGTGCGCTTGCTGATGCACAGCAGCGTCTTGCACGCTGATGGCAGCAGTGGCTGTCAGGCTGACCCGGCCTGGCCGCTTCTGCATCCCCACAGGAACATAAATCATCGACAAGGCAGGAGGTGAAGGCCAGGCTGGCTTCGCTACTGCGAAGCTGCTGATGCAGCTCATTGCTAAAGCATTCTCAGCACGCAAAGAACAACTTGGTGAACGGCAAGACGTGAATTTAATGCAGAATGGGTGTTTCAGGTTTCGTTCTGGGTGTGTTTTAAAAAGCCTAGGCTGGAGCTCCGGCAGACGAAGCTGTCTCGCAGCTCGTTGGCGCAGGCCGCCGCCCGGCCCAGCCGTTGCCAGAGTAACGCGGCGCGGCCGGAAGCTCTCTCGGGCACTTCCGGCGCGGCCTGGGCGCGCCTTCCCTTCCCTTCCCGCCCGCCGCCGCCAAGATGGCGGCGCCCGTGTCGCTGCAGGTGGAGTTCGGGTGAGCGAGGGCGGCGGCGGGAACCGGGGCCAGGGCCGGGCGGAGGGCAGGGCCAGGGCCGGGCCGGGCTCCTCCACCGAGAGCGGGCCGCGGCCGTGAGGCGGAGCGGTCTTGGCGCGGCGGCTGAGCCTGAGGCCTTGTGGGAGCTGCGAGCGAGCTGCAGGCTCGTGGCAGCCCAGTGCCGCGGGGTCTTGGGGCCGCCCGGGCCCGGCAGGGAAACAGGCCGCGGCGGGCGGTGTGAGACGCAGGGCCGAGCTGTGCGTGTGCATCTCACTACTCGCTCTTTCCTGATGATATAATTTTTAATTATTGAAATTATTAATAAAGGCTTTCCGCTTGCTTTCCAGCTGTTCTCTCTGTGCACGTGTGTGTGTGCGTGTGTTCGTGCTGTCCGTGTGCTCTGTCCAGCCCTCGGCTCAGGGCAGCACGGTGGGGCTCTGCACAGCACTCTGCTCCCAGGGTCTCCGCTGCCAACGCTGTGTGCCTGGAGGTTGGAGTGCTCGTGGGGCACTCTGAGCGTTTGTGAGAATACTTTGCTATTTGTTAAAGCCTTCTTTTAGCAAAAGCTACAAGGCTGCTATTTATGGGGTTTTTCCCACCCTCTCACAAACACAGACATGTCATAACCCTTTAAATGCCTCTCTCCTTAAGAATCCTTTCCTCAGTCTTTCCTGCTTCCAGCTGCAGTAACTCTCCTAATTTTCCCAGAAGAGTGAGATGCGTTTTTGCTTCCCTTGGAAATGCATAAATGAGCTCTCTATGTACAAATTGCAGCTGAGTTCTCTACAGCGAGCGCATTACAGAAGGACCTTATCTTGCAATCTACATTTTTCCGCTGTAACAAAGCGTGACCTTGTTTTCATTACATAAAAAAATGTTTTTCATATAATTACTGTGACTTGTTCTTCTGCATGAGTCTCAGCTCATGTTAATAATTGCTGCTTCAAATTTCAGATAACTATTTTTTGTGAGCTGGTGGAAGAACACCAACAGAGTGCTCTTTAGGAGAGTTGCTGCATATAAGTGATGCTGCTGAGCACACAACAAGGGTTCTGTTGTGCTCCTCTATGGCAGAGCCAAGAAAACCTAGTGTGGCATTTTTAGATATTGAATTTAAAGGAACTTTGTAACGTGGGGATGTATCTTTGTTGATATTCAGGTGAGGGTTATTTGTTCTAAATACTTCCCTTTATTGAGGCAGCTTTCAAAAGATGTGAGGCACCAGTAAGGGTTTCCAGAATGTAATCTCATAACAAAAAAAAAAAGCCAAAGTGAGATTAGTATTTTGTGACATTCTTTCAGAACGGCTTAACCATTTTCCTGTATCAGTTGAGTTCTGAGATGTAGATTTCCAAACAGTTCATGCTCTGGCCATCCTGTTCGGTCTGGAATCAAGAACTGACGCTGTCAGTTTCTGTGTCACGTTTTGCACAGTGGCACCCCAGTTTCCTCATGTTTTTGCTCACACAGTGGTTTATAATTTTCTAAGACTGAGTTTGGCCTGCTGCCTCCCAGCACCAAAACCTATTTATATTTGTAAAACTCAGGACATTCCGAGTTGTTCCTTTTTCTTTCCCCACAAAATGGGCGTAGGTGAGGGTCCTGCTGAAGCTCATTATGTTGCAGTTCCAAAATCTTTTTTTTTTTTTTTCTTTCCAGGAGTAGAAGGAGATAGGTATCTGCACTGAATTTAAATCCCATTTTTTCAGGTGTGAAGGCAGCTCCTGTACTTGCCCATCTCTTTATCTTCAGTGTTTAGTTCACACTTCATCTCTCAAAAAGCTGTGCTTGCAGAGACCTTCACTTTGCTCTGTAGGGCTAGTCCTGCTGGTAAGTTCTGTGTGTCAGAAAAGGGGGTTCAGTGGAGGAAGATGTATTTTTTACATTCGCATGTAACCATCACTGCTTGTTTCTCCCAGTTAAGGCTCTCATGAGAGGGATCTGTGCTGTGACTGTGTCAGGAAGGGGTTGCTAGGACTGGAGGATTTCTGGCCCTGCCTCTGACTTGCTGTGGAACCTCACAGCAAGTATACACAGGAAGTGTATGAGTTGCTTCCTCTCTCTGTTTGCAAATGGAAACCAGGCAGATATTTATTCCATGAGAATATTACTATTTTTCACATTCTGTGAAACCCTGTGAGGCTTCTGGCTGAAAGGTGGTAGAGAAGAGTGGTGTCGTGTGGTATCTGTAGTACTGTTTGTATTGGAGCAGTGCTGATAGCTGATGGAAAGGCACTGTTAGGCACCACGCAGTGTGTTGTGGGCTCTGTGGGATGGCAGCCATCCTGTTCTGCTGTGCTGATGCTCCACAAGGTCCTGGCCTGTGACTGCAGCTCTTGTGTGTGATGATAGGAGAATGGTGACTTCCCCATGGGACATGTGGTTTGTGAGTGGAAAAAAAGCAAAGAGAATCCTATACTAAATTAGTTTCTGTAATTTATGCTTCTGTGATCTGTTTTCTTATTGTGGCATTTACATAAAATTCCCTGCTTGTGCTGTCTTCCTTTTGACAGTAGAACTGAAACTCAGTCATACGTTCTTTTTATTTCAGAGGTGGTGCAGAACTCTTGTTCGATGGTGTAAAAAAGCATCAGGTGACTTTGCCTTCTCAGCCAGAGCCTTGTGAGTATCTGAATCTGCTGGATAACTTGAAAGAATGACAACAAATGAAAATCACGTGTAAGACAAAGCTGGTTTTACAGCGGTTTTGTTGGTTTACAAGTACTGATGTATTTTGAAAGCACTTTCAGCCATGCTGTTGGTTGGACAGCGTAGCAGATGCCGTGTAGTCCTCAAAGTAAATACCAGACAGAAGTGATCTGAACACTTTCTGTGTCCTCTAAGCAATTGTGAAGCGAGTTCTTTCTCAGGCCTTTTGCCTCCCTCCTGGATAC